ATAACACCCCTTTAGAGGCGACTGTGCAGGGCCCTGTGTGCGAGCGCCAGATCGAATGAGTTCTCATCTGAGGCCCAGGATTTAATCAATTCTGCTAGCCACTGCTCTCATCTCAGGCCATTCCTTTTATTTTGCCATTGGAACACAGCAATGTGGGGAGAGGTACATGCTTCACAATCTTACTTCATTTTGCACAAGTTAACAATTGCGTTTGTCCGACAGTGATCTTTGTAGCTTGCGACGAATGAACTAAGGAATGACTATTTAGGCGGATGGAAGCTCGCAGGAATTTCTCAATTTTCTTGTGAATGACTCATACATTGCAATACGGTCATCGCCTTAACTGCTCCTCACCTGCTTTTATAAATCTATGTCTACCGCTCTACATCCAGTAGTGTCCTGACTGGGAGCAAAAAAGGCGGTTACTTGCAAAATAGTTCGATATAGCCCTTCATGGCTGTCCGTAGCCCGTTGGTATTCGGTTTCAACGGGAGAAGTTAGAGTTCGCCGGATACACTGTGAGCGGAAGAGTGGAGTTTTATGCCGGCTAGATCAGTCGTATAAATCAAGAGTGTGGAAGTAAGGAAGGTCAATGATTACTCCTTCTTAAATGCTACTGGGCCTGTAAATGCTGGCTGAATCGGCCTTACAAGCCACAGCACAGCTCAGTGATAGGACACCGGGGTCAACGGCTTAGCGTGCCCTTAACTTCACAAGTTGTACGCTAGCCATAATTAGTTAGTGAGAATGAGGATGAAGGAATAACAGACAGAAATGGAGTCATGAGGACACGTTGCATGAGGAGCACTCACTTTCGCGGATGCGTCGCAAGCGCCAGAGACAAAAGTGCGCATGTCGGGGGAGAGACTTAGGCTCATGACGTCGCCAGTGTGTCCAGTGAAGGCACAGACCTGTTGTCCTGTCTCGATGTCCCAGAGACCGCTGTCGAAATAGAATGCATGGGAAGAGGGGCAGTGAGTGAAACAGTTCATGACTAAAATGAGATGAGTTCGCTTCCTCATCTACGATGTCGCGCATGATCTCAAGTTAGCGGCTACAGCGCCTAATTGTCCGTTTAAAGCACAAAACTCAGGCAGGAATGTTTGACTGGAGAAGATTCCAAACGAGATGTACAAAAGTGAAGAGAGAAAGTAGAGCGCCCGGTGACAAGGAGAAACGGTTGGCTTAAAAAAACTATTGTTCTTGTACGAAGTTATGGTAACATGGTAGCTTGCATGTACGCAAACAACTAGTTAGCAGAGCACAAATGTGGAAGGCACAATGACAGTAAAACATCGTGAAAGGCGGTTAGACAAAGGGGTGGGTTAATTGGCAAAAAAATTGACCGCGCTTACAGCCGAGTTAGCATGGAGACGAGCATTTAATTCTCTGAAAGTATAAACAAAAGGATGAAAGTTGAAAAAGGATACAAGGAAGACTGAGCGCTCAGTATAAAGGATGAAGATGTAGAAAAATAGGGTGTCTAATTTAGATGGGAATGTGTTCAAATACAGGTCATAACTTAGTCGCAAGTCCCACAAACTACAGTTGTCGTCTTATAATAATATTTTTTGGAAATAAATTTGGAGGTCAGCAGATGTATGCAACACCAAAGACTCCATTGCTGTTGTTTGAGATCCATGCAAAAGGAACTGGTTGAAACGATGTGCAACACAAGGTGGTGGAGTTGTAGAATGTTCTTAAAATTGTGCGACTGAGATTTACGAAAAAGCATAAACATTTTGTCGTCGACCAGATCATAAAGAGGAAGAAGTGGAATCCTACGTGATGTCGGTTATCGACGCCTACATGAAGACTTAATATGATCGCTTAGAGCAACTCGAGCATTCCGAATTGTCAGCGGCACAACTATGGCATAGGAAGAATTGTCTGCCGATAATGCGCGAGTCTTAGGAGCGCACACTGTTTAAATATTCGGTGTTTACGGGAAAGGAGGGTTTGTTAAGTGTCAAAAATTAATGTAAATCTTCCGAATTGGCTAGCTTGCATATTGGCTCCCCGAGTCTTTTTCAGGCGTTCATATGTGTTGGCTGCCGTAGAAGCTGCGCAGGAGTCGAGATTTACTATCAAAACTGGGTTATTTAGGAGGTTCATGGTTGACATCTCACGGCGCGGCCATCGGAGTTCTTTACTGACATAACTTCCACCAATGGTCCCATGAAAAAGCTAACACTAAGGCCTCGAAACATTGGTTTGTCACTGCATCTAACATTAAGTTCTCGGCTTTTTAATGTTTCGCAAAGACGCTCACCAATAACTGGGCGTTGTAGTCCTAGATAACTGTTTGTCCACCACGGAAATTATCTAGGAAGTTCCACTCAATAGATGTATTGAAATTTTGGGGCAGTTGTCTCGGAAATGTCAAGGGTTGTCCCCTAAACTGACGATGTAACGTACCCTGAAGCAAAACGGTCTGTATTTTTGAAAGCAAATATTAGATGTGCAGCGCTAACTAAAGCTTGCATTCCAAACTCTACACCTGCTCCAAAACACAGGCCGGCGCATCCAGGTGTTTGATCTACTATTTACATCAATTATAAACCGTAGCGTCAACGGCATCATTGCCGTCGAAGGGCGGCCCTGAGTTCACAAAAGATTATATGGAGGTACAAAAATGAAATCATCCAACCCAGAGTCAGTGTTGGCCATGAGCGCACAGGGGTTTGGATAATTCAAGACAGTTAAGACGTTTTACAGAACTGCTGTGGTGTTAATCATTGCCACTTAAAATTGATCCACGTCCACGTCTCTACGCCACTACGTTGTGGAGCACACGGTGAAGATTGTCGGAATCGACGGTCGAACTGTCGATGTTAATGAAAGACTTGAAAAACAGGTACAAGTTTTCGAAATGATTGCTCAGCTTTTTAAATTTTTACATACAGAAAATTAGTTTTTGGTGACGCTATGATACTGATAAGCATTAGAGACACTGTGATGTGTTAAGTTCTCAGTAAACATCAGTTAGAGTGTTTGTGGCGAATTGACCGAGAAAATCAAAGTCCCACGTTTTGCAAACTTGCCAATCACTTGGTATGATGGATCAACAAAATCTGAAATAAGTGCATCGAGCTGGTTGGGGATAACACCTTCACAAAACCTGACATAACTTTCTAATACATTACTTAGACTCCTGTGTAGTGCAAAGGACGAATCACCATCACATCTGTTGGCACTGTATTTGCGCATCTCATGGTCCTATTCGGTTATATACACATTAACTATCACCAAATGCCGCCTATTAAGGATGAATACCCGTGTGTGTATGTGTGGCGTGGGGTAGACAGGGGCTTCAAGCCTCTTTACAAACCATTGTCGTTTTGCAGGAAAATACAAAATGTACAGGAGCAAGTAGTTTGGTTAAGCCCTTGGAAGGGAAACATAACCACTTGTAAAAATAAATTAATGCTTATTTGAAAGAGCGACGGATTTGATATTTTCGACCCACGCTTTAACTAAAAGATATTTTCAACTAAACAATCAAAGGAAAAAAAAGGATGGTCATAGAAAGCTGAAAATATTACTTTAAAAGACAAAAGGTCAAGATCCGTGTATATTAATATGAGATACGTTCCACTTTTACCTGTAATACAACGCGATCTAGACACTCTTTGCTACCTAAAAGAAAATCTATCAATTTATCCCACGTGTTTCGAATGGTTCATTGCATACCATAGATGACAACCAGCCATTAACCAGACGTGTCTATTGGAGCTCCTTCGCTCGAATAGCAAAGGCGTTAGCTTAAAGCCGGGACGGTTGACATGTATAGCTGGATGAAATATATGAGGCCTGCAGGGATTTTGATGTTTACCAATCTCGCTTGCTTATGAGAGGGGATATGACTGGCTTTCATTTGGAGCCCAATGATCACAATCGTTCCATTCTACAGCATACAATTAAAGCATGTTCAGCAGGGCAGTTTACTCGAATGCCAATAAAATGCCCACATAGTGAGAAAAATGCACGTTTTTAAAGAGTGCATCATAAACTGGGCATTTTTAACTGTAGGCAATTTGAAGGGCGTAGCGCCTTTGAAACGAAGACCAGATGCCTGGAAACAAAGGACGTTTATTTGCGGTTCGATGATGGCAGATGTTAATAAAGTAAAGTAAAGCAGGTGGAGTATCCCACTAGCATCAAGCAGGGAGCTTAGTGTCATATTGATTTCCAAGTGCTAAAGAAAAGTTGTAATTTGTTGTGAAACGAGGTCAGGCTAGTGAACCCTACATCCACGACATCAATTACTCCCGACCACAGCCAAAGAGGCGCGAGCACGTGATTAACCAGCGAAAAGACGGGATTTTAAACAAGTAAACCTAGGTATAGTTAGTTCACATGAAATTAGACATGGGCATGGGCTTTGCCAACCTATCCTAGTATTAGAATGGAAACTGACATTTTGTTCCGCCGAAGATTTTTCAGTCTAGATTGATGAATATATCTCTTTTGTAAGTTGCTATTTACTCATTACCATAAGCCAGTCACAAAATAACTGCAGACCAAAATGTGACATTTAAATTCAGGACCAGTTAAAGTTCCGCTGGATGCTTTGCTGCTAAACGATGGGCCCATGCTTTGGCAACTGCGATTTACACTTGTGGATGCCTAGTTGAGAAGGGTGGAGCTGTAAATGTGACGATAACTACTGAAACAATGCTAGCAAAGCCTTAAAATGTGGGTACTACTCTCCCAGAAAGGTGGAACCCAAGGAGTCTACAAGCATTCAAACTGCTTATTTCTGAAGGCTATGATGTGTAGGTGGATGCGTGCAGAGACCAAGCAGGCGGACACTTACCAAGTAACATCCCCGGAGCTGGTCACAATTCGGTTATCATCAAGGAAGCGGCAGCATGACAGATAACCGGTATGTCCCGGAAGCTCACGACTGACACGAACGTTACCCTCGCGCGTTTTAAGGCTGTAGATGGAACAAATGTTATCGAGGCCGCCACAAGCAACAAAGTTTCCCGACGGGGCGTAGGCGCAGGTCATGACCCAACTGCTTCGTAGGGGAATTGCGTGCACCTAAACAGGCGAAATGAGAGGTAGTGTCCATTAGCAAACGCAAGCCGAGTCTGTAGGCACCGCGCGAACAACAAAGTAACGAAACAAGACAAACGTTATTTATTTTACCGATTACCTGACAGTATCAATTATTCCTTGCACGTGCCTGCAAGCAATGAACTTATTAAATCTGCAGGAAAAAGAAGCGCGCGCATGGTGTGCGGACGTAAGCAGATAACTCACCTTGTTTGTTGTATATCCGTCCCAGACAATGAGCTTGCCGTCCTGGGAGGCAGAAACAAGATTGCGTGAGTCTGTGGCCCAATGCATGGCGTATATTTTCGCCAAATGCCCTCGAAGAGTACGACGGGTGCGCATTTGAATGCGCCCAACAGGATCAACATTTGTGGTGGCCTGGGCGAGGGTCGTGTCGGCAGCCGCCTTACGGGCCTCCTAAGTTAGGGAAGGGGCGGACATAGATGGTAAACGGATAACGCTAGACTAAAGATATCTAGAGAAATAAGCAGTTCCATCAAGAAAACGTTAACGGTCACTTGCTAAGCAGACGAACAAACAATTAAGTTGAAAGTTGACAAAAGCAAGAATGAAAATTTTGGGGAGAAGTTGAGGAGGCATGATTGGAGTCGAAGGTCAGACACGAAGTTAAAAGTAATAACTGCAACATGTATGTTATACTCCATGATGGGGCTTACCGACAGTGCGCGTTCCGCTGCCAAATTTTGATTAAGTAGCTAGGCTTCTGATTTTATTAGCATACTTTAACGAAGCAGAGTACCTCTTTCATAGTAAGCGTTGTAATTACTCACGCAGGGTTATGACCAATAAAGCTTGTGTGACTATGATGGAAAGTAAGAAATGTTTATGTCAGCACTCTGTAAATTCACTTTTGCAAAGCCACTCTCAGAACTGACGGGTTCTGACTACACGGAAT